ATACATATACAGGGATTGAAATTAACTTTTTCACTCACCAGCCAATTTGGCTACTCAATTTTTAAGTTACCGGCCATTCATAACTTCTACTAGCCAAAAAAAAAAAAGACAGAAATAAACCAACAGTTTGAGCCTGTCTACACTGGGCATGACAAAGCGACCGTTGCAAATCATATTGTTTAATAACAAATAATATCTCACTATTTTCTGGGATTTTATCGATAAAGATAATTAGACGATATTTTGCTGAGTGTGTTAATGTGCTGATATCTTAAGGACTACCGTGGACAGCTGACTCCTAAAGTTTTTGATATTCTTCATATTCTGTGTGGTCAATGAAAAGATACTTTAAATGTGAAATTAAAACCGCCAGCAGGTGGCATCAAGTTACTGTTAAGTGAGTCATTGCGATTGAACCGAATCATTTACACGGTTGATTCATTCAGTTACGAAACAACGTCATGTTGCTCAGAGACACACAACAGTGCTGTGACTGTGTTTGGAATTATTTTTGTAGGTGAAATAGCGCAGAAATAGCACAAAAACAGCCAATATGGTGTCTAAAACGTAAGTCTCTTGATATTAACTTATTGTTTATTGAACTGTTGTATAAAATCAATATCACATTTGTAACCATGCTGATTTTTTTAAAGAAAAAACGGCACTCTTCGTGTGATGATTAACTATATGAATTGATTTAAATATATACATTTTCTGCCCCCTTATCTTGAATTATGTGATCATTCTTAATGCATATTAATAGACTGAATAATGCAGTGAAAGAACCACTCTAAATGCGCACGCGCACTAAAGCCTGTGTTGGTCTAACCAGACTTCATCACGTTGCGTATGCGTGCCTCTGTGGGTGTGTTTTGTTTGTTTTTTGCAATATACTCGATAATGTCATGATGTCTTACGAGTTCAGTATTTGCGCTAAACCTGCGCACATTTGGCCTGCATGAACTTCCCCAAGAAATTAATGAGTGAACATAATTTACGAAAAGTAACCTGCCAAATTCGCTAGTGATTTGACAGCGTTACCCGCCACAGCTGATTTTTACCTGCATTTGGCGGGTGTTAATTTCAAACCCTGGTTGCATCCCTACTTTTTACTCTAAAATACTGTATAACAGGAATATCACAAACTGAGTGCAGACCCTGATTATTAACCTATAAAAAATATTTAATATTAAATCTTGCTGGATGTCTGGAAATAAACATTTAAACGGTGGCATACAAACTTTATTATTTAATGTATGTCTCCTTAAATCATTAAGACATCAGTCAGAATATAATATGTAATATAGTGCATGTATTAGTAACAAAACGCAAAACAAACTGTGATTATCGGATGGCAGGCGCGCTACAGATAATGCTTTGTGAAGTCTGAAAACGGATTAAAAGACCAGTCTTGAGATTGATCATCAAAAATGAGAATGGGTTATGACTGAGTAATTGATATTGTCACACACACACACACACACACTGGTGTCCAGGTGAGTTCAGTGTGTGGCAGATGTTATCGTGTTTGTCATGCTGTACTCACTGGTTTACAATTGCATGAATCGTGTGTTTCTCAGTGAGGTTTATTTCCGTCCTCCGTCCACACTGAAGCCCAAGGTGGTGCGTGATGTGAAGGCCGACAGCATCGGTCAGCTGGTGACCGTCAGGGGAATCGTCACCAGAGCCACGGAGGTCAAACCCATGATGACTGTGGCCACGTACACCTGCGATCAGTGCGGAGCCGAGACCTACCAGCCGGTGCGCAGCTCATTAGTGCATGCGTGTCTTTAAACGCTCACGTGTGTGTGTGTGTGTGTGCTAACACGAGTCCTGTCCCTGCCACTGCTCAGATCGCCTCTCCGAGCTTCACGCCGCTCATCATGTGTCCCAGTCAGGAGTGCGTCACCAACAAGTCTGGAGGACGGCTGTACCTGCAGACACGCGGGTCAAAGTTCATCAAGTTCCAGGAGCTGCGCATTCAGGAGCATGTGAGTGTGTGAGAGCGTCACGTCTGTCTGGCTGAGTGTAGATCATGCAGAGTGTTGATTGTGTTATGTGTGTGTGCTCAGAGCGATCAGGTGCCGGTGGGAAACATCCCTCGCAGCATGACCATTTACGCCCGCGGAGAGAACACGCGTGTGGCGCAGCCTGGAGATCACGTGGCTGTTTCTGGAATATTCCTTCCTCTGCTGCGCTCCGGATTCAGACAGGCTGTACAGGTGACACGCTTTACACACGTCACACACATCTCAACATCCTATCAACACACAGTGGGCAGAACAAGTCCCCCTCTACATTTGTATCGCTGTGTCCCAATGTTCATACTATCCGTCCTAAATAGTATGTGAGATTAGAATAAGTGTGTCCCAAAGCATAGTATGTTGAAGAGTACGCCAAAACACTGCGCACTCTAATGGCTAATATTACCCACAATCCATTGCGCTGTGGTGAAGGATTCAGTTCAGAGCTACAAACATGAATAAAAAGCTATAAGGGTTGTGACGTGTCTCTGTACTCACATGTGTGTGTGTGTGTGTAGAGGAGGATTTCTACGAGAAGCTGGCGGGATCGATCGCTCCGGAGATTTACGGCCACGAGGACGTGAAGAAGGCGCTGCTGGTGCTGCTGGTGGGTGGAGTGGAGCAGGCGCCGCGTGGGATGAAGATCAGGGGTGAGACGCGTCTGTCTGCTGCTGATGCTGCATGGGAAGAAAACTTACTCAATTCAGCTTAACATTAACACTTAAATGACTTGACAACATTATGAAATTATTAAACTCACATCAGACTCTTTGATAACCAGTTATTTTTCACTTAAGATAATCGAGTGTATATTCATTGACGCTTTTTGAGAGTTGTTTCTGTCTTGGAGCAAAACTGGCCATTATGTAATTCCTAATTCTAAGTCCGAACATCAGATTTCACTTCTAACAACAATAACTACTATTTTCATTCATACTGTTTGAGAATCACTTACATTCGCTTTGAACAAAACCGAGCAGCATTTAAATCTCAGTTGTGTGTTTGAGTCAATGCAGCACTGATATGTGTGCCAGAAAACACCATAAATACAACAGTTACATCTGAATCCGGAAGATCACTATATATATATCATCATATCGCCCAATCCTCAACTTACTCTATATTAAAGCACTACAGCATTATAAATATGACAGTATGATTTTCTGTAAAGCAGCTTTGAAACCATGTGTTTGAAAAGAGCTTTACAAATACATCGGACTCGATAATAACTTTGACACTGATATTGAGCTGCATTGAATCAACACTGTACTAGGGGGAATTATTGCTGTACAGCAGAAGTAGGATTTGTCTGATGTTTGTTTATTGGTGTGAAGCTGTTGTGACAGTGTTGTATGAAGCGCTGTTTGACTGAATGCGTCTGTGTTTGTAGGGAACATTAACATCTGTCTGATGGGAGATCCGGGTGTGGCCAAGTCTCAGCTGCTGTCCTACATCGACCGTCTCGCTCCTCGCAGTGAGTGTGGCCCGCAGCATCGCTCCTCCGTCCGCTAGCATCCCGCGGCTAACTCTGGCACTCTGTTGCAGGTCAGTACACGACGGGCCGCGGCTCGTCCGGTGTGGGGCTGACAGCGGCGGTGATGCGTGACCCAGTCACGGGTGAGATGACGCTGGAGGGCGGCGCTCTGGTGCTGGCTGATCTGGGCGTGTGCTGCATCGACGAGTTCGATAAGATGGCCGACGCCGACCGCACGGCCATTCATGAGGTCATGGAGCAGCAGACCATCTCCATCGCCAAGGTACGGTGCGCTCCGCTCGAGCTGGGCGACCTCTAGGGTTGGGCTAGGGCTCACATTTGAACCGGTACGGTACCTGAATTCCAGTGCCGGTACCCAACGGTAACTTTTTTCGGTACTTTACTCTGTGTAATTACAAACTTTCTCTCTCTGTAGCGTATGCGCCCAGATGCGTTCTCGGCTACCGAAATCTGGCACCGATTGATTTAATGTGAATCGGTACTCTGTAGTACCGATGCAATTCGGTCGGTACCCTTAAAAGTACCGAGTTCGGTACCCAACCCTAGTCACCTCTGACCCCATCATCACGTGTTTGTGTGGTGTTTGTCTCAGGCCGGCATCATGACGTCTCTGAACGCGCGCTGCTCGATTCTGGCGGCGGCGAACCCGGCGTACGGCCGCTACAACCCTCGCAAAACCCTCGAGCAGAACATCCAGCTGCCGGCGGCGCTGCTGTCGCGCTTCGACCTGCTGTGGCTCATTCAGGACAAACCCGATGCAGACAACGACCTGCGTCTGGCGCAGCACATCACATACGTGCACCAGCACTGCAAGCAGCCGCCGACACACTTCAGCCCCATCCACATGCAGCTCATGAGGTAAACACGCTAACAGCATTACACTAGCATGTTTGAGGCCACTGCTGTTCACACCTGGTGTTATCATGTGGTGTTGACGGGGCGCGGGGGGGTGGGTGTTAGCGCATGTCTCGAGCTCGTCTGTCGGCGCTCAGGGCAGCTGAGAGCGAGACGGAACGGAGTGCAGAAAGTGAAGTATACCTGTGCCTAAGAGCGGTGCGGACGTCAGATGATTAAAATATTAAATTGAATTATTATTAGGCTATTTTAATTTTATTGTAATATATTTATTATTCAAATTATTTCTAATTTTGTTGCTGTTTTTGTACGCTTCGTTTAGCTCGTGTAAAACATCTAGCCTATAATTCATTTGGCATTTTTTTGCACAAAATCTTTACTGTTTAAATTGTTCATTGAGCTGTTTTGAATGTAATTCAATTCGATGCCGGCTCAACATTGTGATGTCTGTCATCGTCTATCGGCCCAACCCTGATTCGACCTGTGATTACAGAAAATCATCTGTTGACAGGATATGTGTCTTTCCTGTGAACTCTTAGGTTGTGCTTTAGTTTTTCTTCATTTTTCTGTTGTTTGACCTTTCTTTTGCCCACATTATAAAGCATGTGTCAGTATTTAAGTGTTCA